TCAGCAACTTCTCTGAATTGCCATATACCTAAAAAATGTCTAGTAATAAACCTGGCCATAGAAATATGCCTGTTTGGCCGAGCGCGGTGGCTCACGCCTGTAATCTCAGCACTTTGGGAGGCCAAGAAAGGTGAATCACTTCTGCCCAAGAGTTTGAGACCAGCCTGGGCCACACAGGGAGACCCTAGTGAAGCAGGAGCAGCAGGGAACAAACCGAACTGAGGAAGGAAGTGGCTTTTTATTTGGCCAGGAGCTGCAGAGGGAGAGCTACAGCCTTATTCACTGAGCTCCCCAGGCTGCAGCTTCTCTCCCTTTTTACAGGCTTACAGCACTAAAGGGGAAACTAAGGCGGAACTGTCATTGTCCATTTGCTTGACGTTCGAACTTACAGTGTTTTGGATTTATTGGTTTGCTAATTCATATGCAGCATGAGTGGGTACCAGCAGGGGAGGGGGCTTACAGAGACAAGACAAAAGCAACAAGCTGTTTGTTGGCAGAGGTGTTTCCAGGAGGGAGCCCCAGTGTGGAGACATGGGGGCGTGACCCAGTGCCGGGCTCCAGCTGGCAGAGATAACATTCATTTGCAGCTCTTCCAAGGTTAACAGCTAGCAGAGACACTGAACTAAAAAGGGAGTCATTTTCTCAGCTCTTTCGTATCTTATTTTATTTTTCTTTTTCCTTCTTCACCCTTCTTCCATTTTGGGGAGGGAGGAGGTGAAATAGAAGGAGGGGAGGGGGTCTCCCCTCTCACCAGTTTCTACAAATAATTTAAAAAATATATTAGCCAGGCATGATGGTACACACCTGTAGTCCCAGCTACTCAGGAGGTTGAGGTGGGAGGGTCTCCTGAACCCAGGAGTTCAAGACTGCAGTGAATCGTGATTGCACCACTGTCCTCTAGCCTGGGCAACAGAAACCCTATCTCAAAAAACAAAAATTAAGGCTAAGCATGGTGGCTCACGCCTGTAATCTCAGCACTTTGGGAGGCCGCGGTGGGTGGATAACCTGAGGTCGGGAGTTCAAGACCAGCCTGACCAACATGGAGAAACCCAGTCTCTACTGAAAATACAGAATTAGCCGGGCATGGTGGCGCATGCCTGTAATCCCAGCTACTTGAGAGGCTGAGGCAGGAGAACCACTTGAACCTAGGAGGCGGAGATTGCAGTGAGCCAGGATTGCACCATTGCACTCCAACCTGAGCAGCAAGAGTGAAACTCTGTCTCAAAAAAAAAAAAAAAGAAAAAAGAAACGACTGAAGCAGGTGTCTCAATCAGCAAAGGTTTATTGAGCTAAAGTTTGAGGATGTGCCCAGGAAAAACACAAGCAAACAAGAGCATCTGTGACCTGTGCTGTTTTTTTGAGACAGAGCCTCAGTTTGCTGCCCAGGGCTGGAGTGCCATGGCATGATCTCAGCTAACTGCAACCTCTGCCTCCTGAATTCAAGTGATTCTCCTGCCTCAGCCTCCCTAGTAGCTGTGACTACAAGTGCATGCCACCATCCCCAGCTAATTTTTTTTTGTATTTTTAGTAGATACGGGGTTTCACTGTGTTAGCCAGGATAGTCTCAATCTCCTGACCTCATCATGATCTGCCTGCCTTGGCTTTCCAAAGTACTGGGATTACAGGCGTGAGCCACTGTGTCTGGCTGACCTGTGCATTTTTTTTTTTTTTTTTTTGAGACGGAGTTTTGCTCTTTTGTCACCCAGGCTGGAGTGCAATGGCGCGATCTCGGCTCACCGCAACCTCCGCCTCCTGGGTTCAGGCAATTCTCCTGCCTCAGCCTCCTGAGTAGCTGGGATTACAGGCACACACCACCATGCCCAGCTAATTTTTGTATGTTTAGTAGAGACGGGGTTTCTACTAAAAAGCTTAAAAAGCTAAAAAGCTTAAAAACCGCGCCCGGCGACCTGTGCTTTTTAAAGAGAGTTTTGGTTTGTAACTGATGCACCAAAATTAAATGATTATTTTAAAAAATTAAGAACAGGCCGAGCACTGTGGCTCATGTCTGTAATCCCAGCACTTTGGGAGGCCAAGGTGGGCAGATCACCAGTTCAGGAGTTCGAGACCAGCCTGGCCAACATGGTGAAACCCCATCTCTACTAAAAATACAAAAATTATCTGGGCTTGATGGTGTGTGCCTGTAACCCCAGCTGCTGAGGAGGCTAAGGCAGGAGAATTGCTTGAACCCAGGAGGCGGAGGCTGCAGCGAGCCGAGATCATGCCACTGCACTCCAGCCTGGGTGACAGAGTGAGACTCTGTCTCAAAAAAAAAAAAAACATTAAAAATTAAAAGAGAGTTTGGGAACTCCGTATTTAAGGGGAGAAAGCCTACAAGAGGAAAATAAGGAGGAAGGAGAGGCAATGAGGCAAATGGTTATATTTTTTTGGAATAGGGTCTCACTCTGTTGGCCAGGCTGGAGTCTAGTGGGTCCATCTCCGATCACTTCATCCTCTACTTCCCTGCTTCAAGCAATTCTCCTGCCTCAGCCTCCTGAATAGCTGGGATTACAGGTAGGCACCACTATGCCCAGCTAACTTTTGTATTTTTAGTAGAGATGGGGTTTTGCCATGTTGTCCAGGCTGGTCTTGAACTCCCGGCCTCAAGTGATCCACTCACCTCCCAAAGTGCTGGGATTACAGGCATGAGCCACTGTACCCTGCTGCAAATGGTTACTTTCTTGTGAGGTTCTCATTAGTGTTCAGTAAATCTATGTTTTACGTAAAATACAATAAACATTTGAAAAGAGGGAGCGAAGGAAAAAGTCAATTATCCATGTGTCTCAGGATAGGTGGCAGGATGATTTCTGATCTCCTCCATGTTCTATACCTGGGAAGGTAAGCTTGTAAACATTATCTGTGTGAGATTTCACAGAACTCAGTTTAGGGCTAGTTCATAGGGGGAATGCATATACTGAAAGATTTAGAGGCTAATGAGGAATTTCTAGGTGAGCAATTTGTGAGGGAGACCATCTGGGGAGGTATATGCCCTTTGCCATTGTGGGAACCTGGCTTATGTAAGAGGCTATGACACAGGGTTGTGGAATTACAGCTATCTGGGAACAAAAAGGAAGGCAGTTTTTTTTTTTTTTTTTTGAGACGGAGTTTCACTCATGTTACCCAGGCTGGAGTGCAATGACGCGATCTCGGCTCACCGCAACCTCCGCCTCCTGGGTTCAGGCAATTCTCCTGCCTCAGCCTCCTGAGTAGCTGGGATTACAGGCACGCACCACCATGCCCAGCTAATGTTTTGTATTTTTAGTACAGACAGGGTTTCACCATGTTGACCAGGATGGTCTCGATCTCTTGACCTCATGATCCACCCACCTCGGCCTCCCAAAGTGCTGGGATTACAGGCTTGAGCCACCGCGCCCGGCAGGAAGGCAGTTTTGACTCAGTCCCCAAGCCTAAATTTCCTCGGCATGCCCCCACCATGCCCAACTAATTTTGTTTTCATTTTTTGTAGAAACAAGGTCTCATCATGTTGACAAAGCCAGTCTCAAACTCCTGGGTTCAAGGGATCCTTCTGCCTTGGCCTCCCAAACTGCTGGGATTACAGGTATAAATCACCATGCCTGGCCTTGTGGAGTTATTTCCTTCCTTCCTTCCTTTTTTTTTTTTTTGAGTCTCACTCTGTTTTCCCCAGGCTGGTGCACAGTGGCGCAATCTCAGCACACACAGCCTCCGCTTCCCGAGTTCAAGTGATTCTCCTGTCTCAGCCTCCCAAGTAGCTGGGATTACAGGGCCCTGTCACTACCCCTGGCTAATTTTGTTTTTTTTTCTTTTATTTTTTTTGTCTTGAGACAGAGTCTCGCTCTGTCACCCAAGCTGGAGTGCAGTGGCACAATCTCAGCTCACTGCAACCTATGACTCCCCGGTTCAAGTGATTCTCCTGCCTCAGTCTCCTGAGTAACTGGGATTACAGGCATGTGCCACCATGCCCAGCTAATTTTTTGTATTTTTGGTAGACATGGGGTTTCACCATGTTAGCCGGGATGGTTTTGATCTCCTGACCTCGGGATCCGCTTGCCTCGGCTTCCCAAAGTGCTGGGATTACAGGCATGAGCCATCACGGCCGGCCTAATTTTTGTGTTTTTAGTAGAGATGGGGTCTCACCATGTTGGCCAGGCTGGTCTCAAACTCCTGACCTCAAGTGATTGCCTCGCCTTGGCCTCCCAAAGTGCTGGGATTAGACGTGTGAGTCACCATGCCTGGCCAAGCAGGGGCCTTTCTTGGTGTTCTCACCACTCCAATTTGTTTGGGCCTGACAATGTGATTTAGTCCTGTATCTGCAACTTTCATAAGACAGAGACACTCAAAACCAGATTGCACCCTAAATTATTCCTTCATTCACTCAAAAAGTATTTAGGCACCAATGAGTCAGGCACCGTGTTGGTCACAGGGGATACCATGATGAACAAAAGAGAAGGAACCACAGGCCCTTGAATGGAAGAGTGAGGAATATGAACAACAGACACAGAGGGCTGGGTATGGTGGCTCACGCCTATAATCTCAGTGCTTTAGAAGGTCGAGGATGGAGGATCACTTGTGCCCAGGAACTGAGGACCAGCCTGGACAACTAGCGAGACCCCTGTCTCTATCAAAACAAAAAAAAATAATAAAATTAGCTGGGTGTGGTGGGGTGCACCTGTAGTCCCAGCTACTAGAGAGGCTAACACAGAAGAACTGCTTGAACCCGGGAGGCGGAGGTTGCAGTGAGCCGAGATCGCGCCACTGCATTCCAGCCTGGGCAACACAGTGAGACTCCGTCTCAAAAAAAATAAAAGAACTAGGCATTCTTATCCCAGTTTTACAGACGAGGACGATCAAGCCGTTAAGTAATTTGTCAAACGTTACCGCAGGCGACAGGCGGGGACAAGGTCTGCGAAAACCCGCGAGGGCGTCGGGATCCCTCAGCCATAGGACAGTCAGCCGGGCCCGTGAACTGCCTGCTCCTGGGACTCCTGGCCCGCCGCGCGCCGCGGGGACACTGAACATGCGCCTCTCACCTTACGGAAGCCGGGAAGGAAGGGGGCGGGGCCGAGGCCGGCGGGCGCGGGGAAAATGGCGGCGGCAGCTGCAGCTGCGAACGGGACCGGAGGGAGCAGCGGGATGGAGGTGGATGCAGCAGGTAACGGGCCGTGTGGGGACGGCTTCCAAAGACCTCCTTCAGGGGTGCGTTGAGGCCTCCCTATGCTCCCAGGAGAAGGGAGAAGGGCGGAGCAGCAACATCTTTCCCTGGGATAAGTTGCGGGAGGGAAGTGTGGCCCGGGCTCCATCGTCCCCCACTGCCATCTCCCGGGAAGGACGTGGGGCCCGGACTCTCACCCTCTCTCCTTTCCCTCCACCCTTAGTAGTCCCCAGCGTGATGGCCTCCGGAGTGACTGGGAGTGTTTCCGTCGCTCTCCATCCCCTTGTCATTCTCAACATCTCAGACCACTGGATCCGCATGCGCTCCCAGGAGGGGCGGCCTGTGCAGGGTGAGTGTTGGGCATAGCCCCCAGTCTTCACTCCTTGCTCACCTCCCCTAGACAGTCGCCTCTTTCCCTTTTTTTTACTGGAACCAGTTCCCCCTCCCGCAAGTCATCGTTTCCCCAATACTTGGCTCCCACTGACCTCAGATCCTTAGGTGATAGAAGTTTCCTTACCCTCACCTTTTCCATGTCATTCTCTTTCCTAGTGATTGGGGCTCTGATTGGGAAGCAAGAGGGCCGAAATATCGAGGTGATGAACTCCTTTGAGCTGCTGTCCCACACAGTGGAAGAGAAGATTATCATTGACAAGGAATATTATTACACCAAGGAGGAGCAGTGTGAGCGGAATAGACGTGGGGAAGAGGAGTGGGAGTTAAAAAAAAAAAATGTACAGGATGGGGAAGATGGAGAAGGTTGGAAATAAACAGGAGAGGCGGCCAAGAACAGAGGAGAAAAGGTTAAGAGAGTAGCTGGAGAGATCTCAGAAAAAGAACACATTCAGAGTTCTTTCTCAAAAAGAAAGTAAAGGATAAAAGAAGACAGGATAGAAGGGAGTAATTATTCTAAACTGAGCAAGGATTTGAGGAGCGGGGAGAGAAGCTGGTGAAAATACACCAGGAGCTTCCCATTGAGGAAAGATGGCTTAAAGTATTACTATGTCAGGCTGGGCACGGACGGTGGCTCACTCCTGTAATCCTAGCACTTTGGGAGACCCAGGCAGGCAGATCATGAGGTCAAAAGTTTGAGACTAGCCTGGCCAACATAGTGAAACCCTGTCTCTACTAAACATACAAAAATTAGCCGCATGTGGTGACATGCACCTGTAGTCCCAGCTACTCAGGAGGCTGAGGCAGGAGAATCGCTTGAACCTGGGAGGCAGAGGTTGTGGTGAGCCAAGATTGCGCCACTGCACTCCAGCCTGGGCAACAGAGCAACTCTGTCTCAAAAAAATAATAATAATTACTATGTGTTTTGGTCCCTTCCCCTTCAGTTAAACAGGTGTTCAAGGAGCTGGAATTTCTGGGTTGGTATACCACAGGGGGGCCACCTGACCCCTCGGACATCCACGTCCACAAGCAGGTATACGTCTCACACCTGTGCATGCTGAAGCAGAGAATGGGGGATGAGGGGAAGGAGAAAGGGGGGCACTGACTTCCTGTGCATCGTCCCTCTCTTTCAGGTGTGTGAGATCATTGAGAGCCCCCTCTTTCTGAAGTTGAACCCTATGACCAAGCACACAGATGTGAGTAATATCCCATGCCTACTGTCATGAGTGTCTGTTGCTGTACCTTTTGTTGTGTGACACTGTATTGGGGAATGCCAAATGCCACTTACCTGCTGTGACTCTGGCTTAGTCATTTAATCTCCAAACTGTGTGAAATGAGGTAATCCCTACTTCATTGGTTTCTGGGGAAAATTAGCTGAGAGGAAATGTGTAAAAGCAACTAGCCCCAATGTTGGCAGATAGTATTCAGGTTTCTCCATCTCCTCCACAGCTTCCTGTCAGCGTTTTTGAGTCTGTCATTGATATAATCAACGGAGAGGTAAAACCCTACCCTTCAACCCTCAGATCCTTTCTTGTCCCCTTTCCTGCTTTTCATTCTTCCTTTGTGGGTTACCTTGCCCTGTAGGCCACAATGCTGTTTGCTGAGCTGACCTACACTCTGGCCACAGAGGAAGCAGAACGCATTGGTGTAGACCACGTGGCCCGAATGACAGCAACAGGCAGTGGAGAGAACTCCACCGGTAATGGAGGGGATTCCTTGGAAGTGGGGGTGGAATGTGTGGCCACATCCTGTCTCAACCTCCTCCTGTCCCCATCCCCTTGCAGTGGCTGAACACCTGATAGCACAGCACAGTGCCATCAAGATGCTGCACAGCCGCGTCAAGCTCATCTTGGAGTATGTCAAGGCCTCTGAAGCAGGTAGGTCAGGGGCTTCCCTGACACTTCCCTGGGGTTCTTCCTCTCCCATTTGGGGAAGTGACAGCATCCAAATTAATGCAGCCTCTTTTTGTTCCTTTAGGAGAGGTCCCCTTTAATCATGAGATCCTGCGGGAGGCCTATGCTCTGTGTCATTGCCTCCCAGTGCTCAGCACAGACAAGTTCAAGACAGACTTTTATGATGTGAGTGTAAAACCCAGATGGGGAGGTGGGGCTTATGCTGTCACTTTCACGTGCAGGACCGGGGACTGTTGTTCCCTGGGCATGCCACAAGGGATCCCCTGAAGAACTGGTCCTTTCTGTTCCCTCCCAGCAATGCAATGACGTGGGGCTCATGGCCTACCTCGGCACCATCACTAAAACGTGCAACACCATGAACCAGTTTGTGAACAAGTTCAACGTCCTCTATGACCGACAAGGCATTGGCAGGCGAATGCGCGGGCTCTTTTTCTGATGCGGGTACTTGAAGGGATGATGGACAGGGGTCAGGCAACTGTCCCAAAGGGGAGGGCACTGCACTCCCTTGAGAAACCGCTGTCATTTAATAATAAAAGGGGAACAGCCCCTGAGCACCCCTGCCGGTGGCTCTGTCCTCTCTGTTAGGCACCACACTGGTTTGTCAACTGGGATGTTCATCAAAACTCATTCCAGCCTTGCTCACAAGCCCTTCTGATGCTCTTCAATGAGGGAGGCACTGCCACTTGAAGTGACCCCATGTCAATCACATGGACTGTCTTTAGTGTCCAAGGCTGCCTGCTTCCAACTAAGCAGTCTCCATTCTACACTTTAATGTGACCCTCGACATCATATATGGTCCACCCCATAAACGTGACAATTACTTTCCCGAGCTAAATGGTTTTCATACATGCAAAAAAAAGGAATAGTAAGATTTTTTTTTTTTTTTGAGACGGAGTTTCACTCATGTTACCCAGGCTGGAGTGCAACGGCGCGATCTCGGCTCACCGCAACCTCCGCCTCCTGGGTTCAGGCAATTCTCCTGCCTCAGCCTCCTGAGTAGCTGGGATTACAGGCATGCGCCACCATGCCCAGTTAATTTTTTGTATTTTTAGTAGAGACAGACAGGGTTTCACCATGTTGACCAGGATGGTCTCGATCTCTTGACCTCGTGATCCACCCGCCTCGGCCTCCCAAAGTCCTGGGATTACAGGCTTGAGCCACCGCGCCCGGCCAATAGTAAGATTTTTATTAGGAACAAGTCTAAGCCTTAATCCTGTGGGCACTGAATTACGAGAAGGGAGAATTTCTCAATGACTGTTTACTGCATACTTGAGATTTGGAGAGGCAGTCAGGAAGTGGTCTAAAGGTTGTGATTGCTGTATGTGATCACTTGTGCCCTGATTTTCATTACTCACTAACCAGAGGTTTCGAGTGGGAGTTGGGAACTAAGGGATTAAGTAATGACCTATCTGCTAGAAAAGGGGAAAAACTGAGAGACCCTGCATTTCATACTGGCCCCGTATCTGCAGAACCTGACTGTCACACAGGCAGTATGAGACTAAGGGAGTCAGGGGCTCAAAAAGTGAAGCCCCAGTTCAATTATCTCCAAATAGCAGGGACCTCTTAGTTCTTGCTGCATTCCAGTGTATATACTGGGGCCCAGCAGGGACATGCAGTTTACTCCATTTACTGAGTGGAAACATAAGAAGAAACAAGGTATGAATCTAAAAAATGCAGAATACTCTGTTTTAATAGAAGTCAGGCCCAGGTTAGAAGGTTGCAATCTACAAATACTTTATTGGCAAAAGGAGTAAGTGCAGCATGAGAGAGAGGCTCTTCCTTCCCAAGGGGCAGGCCAACACGAAACAAGTGGACCCAGGGTCGCAAGCAGGCTGGAATCAGACAAAAGTGATCCGCGTCCGGGAAGCATTGACCTGCCAGACATTGAGCTCCTCATACTCATCCAGAGCTGCCTGGAACTGAGCAGGCGTGAAGCCACGAGATATGCAGCGCTGCTCTGCCTCAGAGAACCGGACACTTCGGCCCCCTGAGACTAGTTCCCGGACAGTGGCAAATATCACATCTGCTGGTCTCTGAGTCCTGAAGGAAATGAGTGGGTGTGTAAGGTCAGGATGCAAACAGAAATGCCCGACATCAACAGAGAACAATGGTGGTCAGTGTCAGAATGAGGCCAACCTCAGACGTGTGGACATAGAAGCCACAAAGTGATTTGCTCAAGAAAGCCAAGGTGACTCAGCTTTGTCCTTCACTAAACCACTCACCTAGCTGTCTGCCCCTTGTCGCCTAGAAGTGAGTCCTTTGACATCTCCATTAACCTGATGGCTTCATTCACATCTTCCTTTTCCACCACGTCCACCATTCGCAGACGTGCCTAAGGGGAAGGTAGGGGAGAGATGGGAACAGGAGGAGGGCAATGGAACAAGGTCAGGGAACACCCTTGTTCTGGCTGGGCAGCCCATGGGTCACCTACTCACAAAACAGGAGTGGAGCCCCTCCCTTCCCCCCAGCATCCGCAGTGTTGGGCCGGCACTGTCAGACCGAGACAAGTGCAATGCCCAGGGCAGCGTCCAGCAATTGCCCAAGTCTCCGCCTCTCAACACTGGCCAGTCCCGGAGTTCAGCTGTCCTATGAGGGAGACCAGACCCTTTTGAACTCCACTGGGCTCCCCACCATGACAGATGGAGCTTGGGGAGCTCAGCCAAGAAGACAACTGGCAGAGAGAACGTGTCCCGGGGGCTCGGGAAGTGCTAGCTCAGCAGTAGGTCGGGTAATCACACTACCTGCACGAACAGCACTTTGGAGCCCCCAGGACTGAGGTCCAAGACGGGAGAACAGAAAGGAAAGTTTGCAGCACAGGATCTAGGACACGGGGAGTGAAACAGACCCCAACCACCCCCTCAGTGGGGGTTAAGAAGTGGGGAAAAGGCCTTTCCCTCTGCAGACGCTGTGCGTGCCCTGCTGGAGCAGCAAGTACCCACAGTGCGGTAGCACGGAGAGGACCACTATCTGCACTGTCAGCACTTTAGCCCCGGCAGGGCTGGAGCAGGAGGGAGGCAGCGATGAGAGCATGGTAAGGAATGGCCCTTTTAAGGGTCAAAACAGATGGCCCTCCAGCAGTTTGGGCACTTACCAGAGCAGTGGAAAGGCGCAGGATTGCCAGCAGCGTCCGAGCAGAAGTATAGGTGGCATCCTTACTAGCCCAAGCCTCGCGCCTCATCTCCACGTATGCTGCCGTGATGTAGTCAGCCAGAGACTCTGGCACCGTGGGCTGTTTCTCTCGGCACATGGCTATGTAACGCCTGTGGGAGAAGGTTTGTGGGGAAGCAGAAGAGGGAGATGGGGAAGGGAGTGAATACAAACCCATTTTTTTTTTCTGCACCAGGGACCCCCATTTAACGAAGTCCCCTCCAGGAATTTTAAGTGGAAAAAACAAATTAGTGGATGATTATTTGCTTAGCTATCATTGATGGATTTATCCAAATCTACAGCCCCCGCCCCCCGCCTGTATCCTCCAAATTATTTCCATTTTTTCCCCTTGGAAAATGGCCTTTGTAATAGTAAGACAAATCCGTCTGTCATTAAGAGATGATTCACTCCCCTCCACTGAGTGCATGACATGGCAAAACAGATATAGCTTGGGATGAGACTCCAGTCTAAACATGAAATTCACCTATATTTCATATACAACTGATACACATAACTTAAATGTAATTTTATGAAAAATAGTTTTATGGGCTAGGCACAGTGGCTCACGCCTGTTATCCCAGCACTTCGGGAGGCTGAGGCGGGCAGATCACAAGGTCAGAAGATCAAGATCATCCTGGCCAACATGGTGAAACCCTGTCGCTACTAAAATGCAAAAAACTAGCTGTGCGTGGTGGCGGGCGTCTGTAGTCCCAGCTACTCAAGAGACTGAGGCAGGAGGAATCACTTCAACCTCAGGAGGCAGAGGTTGCAGTGAGCCAAGACCACACCACTGCACTCCAGCCTGGCGGCAGAGCAACTGTTTCAAAAAAAAAAAATTTTTTTTTTTTTGAGACGGAGTTTCACTCATGTTACCCAGGTTGGAGTGCAATGGCGCGATCTCGGCTCACCGCAACCTCCGCCTCCTGGGTTCAGGCAATTCTCCTGCCTCAGCCTCCTGAGTAGCTGGGATTACAGGCACGCACCACCATGCCCAGCTAATTTTTTGTATTTTTAGTAGAGACGGGGTTTCACCATGTTGACCAGGATGGTCTCGATCTCTTGACCTCGTGATCCACCCGCCTCGGCCTCCCAAAGTGCTGGGATTACAGGCTTGAGCCACCACACCCGGCACTGTTTCAAAAATTTAAAAAATTTGTGTGTAGGGAATAAAGTTTCCTTTCACGTGAAGTGTGGAATTTTCCACTTAAAAGTTATTCTCATTTGACAAGGTTCCAAGGGGACCCTGACTATTCTCAGGCTCTGGACATGTCAGAAGCAGAAGTGGTGGTGTGAAAAACACCCTAGGACTAAACCCTTTTCAGGAGGCTCGTGTGGCCCATGCTGACAATGTGTGCCCATCTGCACCCAGCTCTCCTACCTCATGAGCTTCATGTCCAGAGGTTCAAACTGGGAGGGGGGCTGCCGGCTGTGCTGGTGCACGTAGGTGATGTGCTGGGCCAACCTGGATAGAGGGGAGGCGAGGAGGAACACCCTTTACAGGGCTGCATACCCATGTCCTCTTAGATATCCCTCCCTTGGCTCCACCCATCTCATGGTATAGCAGGAACAAGCTTTCCTGGGAAATCCTCATCAGCATTTCAGCCCCAACCCACCATTTCCCTGAGAACCTTGGACCAGCCCCGGATGTAGAGGGGAGGCTCTGGGATTTCCAGGAGCTGGGTATTTATTTTCTGATTCACCACCTTCCACAGAGCATTACAGGGGACCTCTCTTTGGGTGTTGAGCTTCATTCACCGTAGGTCATTGTCACGATCAGGCCGGTCCTGAATTAGCCAGAGGAGGTCAAACCGGGAAAGCAGTGCAGCAGGCAGCTGTATGTTCTGCTCCAGGCTGCGGCGAGGGTTGTAGCGCCCGTAGGCAGGGTTGGCAGCAGCCAGGATAGAACAGCGGGCATTGAGTGTGGTGAGGATGCCAGCCTTGGCGATAGAAATGGTCTGCTGCTCCATGACCTCGTGGATGGCTGTGCGGTCGGCCTCAGCCATCTTGTCAAACTCATCAATGCAGCACACACCCTGGTCAGCCAGCACCAGGGCCCCACCCTCTAAAGTCAGTTCTCCACTCACGGAGTCTCTCAGCACAGCTGCTGTAAGCCCCACTCCCGAGGAGCCCCGGCCTGTTGTGTACTGGCCTGGAAGAGAAAAAATAAGGAACCATGTTAAGAAATAGAAAAGAACGAGAAAGAAAGCAAGCAAAGGACAAGAAACAAGCCAGAGGGGAGGCTGCGCTGGGATCGTTCCACCCGCCCCAGGCCTTCCCCGGGATGCCCAAGGTTCTGTGGGGGCACTGGCAACCTCCCCCCTCTTCCCCTGCCACCAGTTCTCTCCAGAGCACAATTGTGGCTAAAACCCTGGCTCCTGGGCTCAAGCCATCCTCAGGCCTCAGTCTCCCAAGTAGCTGAGACTATAGGCACTGATTACCACACCCAACTGATTTCTAAAACTTTCTAGTAGAGGCCAGGCATGGTGGCTCATGCCTGTAATCCCAGCACTTTGAGAGGCCAAGGCAGGTGGATCATGAGGTCAAGAGTTCAAGACCAGCCTGGCCAACGCAGGGAAACCCATCTCTACTAAAAATACAAAAATCAGCTGGGTGCAGTAGCAAGAACACTCCTGGCCCCAAATGATTCTCCTGCCTCAGCCTCAGAGAACTGAGATTACAGGTGTAAGCCACTGTGCACCCCTACTTTTTAAATAAACACTATCACTATGTTCACCTCTCTCAAAGTCCAACTACTTACTGCGGGGGGCCAGGCGATCGATGTATGACAGGAGCTGAGACTTGGCCACACCAGGATCCCCCATCAGACAGATGTTGATGTTGCCTGGAGGGAGGCAGGCAGCCCCGGAATGACTCTTCTCCCAGTGCAAGGTGGCCAACAGCAGAGCAATTTTGAGTTCTGCCTCCACCCCACACCTAGCATTACTTCTAAGCCCTCCCTGTGTCCATGAAGCGAAGATGCCCACTCTTTTACTGTGACTTATGGGGACATTTGTCATCCTTTTTTCCTCCCAAATGACTTCATCTACCCTGAGCCTTTCCATTTTTTCTTCTTACCCCTGATTTTCATGCCCCGAGGAGACTGGTCCACACCCCCCACTAGCAGGAGCAGCAGTGCCTTCTTCACATCTTCATGCCCATATATCTCTGGGGCAATTGAAGCTGCCAGCTTTTCGTAAAAATCCTCCTCTGTGGAGAATTTTAAGGTTAAGGTATTTTCTGGGGGAAAGGTGGGGATAGGATGTAAACGGAATTTCCTCTCTCTCCTGCACATCACCTGCAATCTGCCTCAGCTCTTCCCTGCTGAGCTCTCCAGCCCCAGACTCATCGTCCTCACTCTTGTTCATCTTCACAATCCGATGGGCTTCCAGGTAGGTTTCTGAGAGTAAACCCTTAGGCAGGAAAATGTCAGGATACTGATGCAATCCTTAGAACTTACCCATCACCAGATTCCCTAACAATTTCTTGATAAAGCACCGTGTTGTGTTTTGCTGCTCATTTTTCTCTGTGCAGGTAGAGTGGGTGAGGGGAAACGGAACGATCTGTTCCTCACATCAAACTCCCTTCCTTACCTGTACCACCTGTCGGAACCCAGTGCGCAGGACGGGCAGGAAGATACCAGTGACACTGACGTGGTCTCCAGGCTGGGCAATCCTTGTATTCTCTCCTTCTACCAGCACCGTGATACTACGAGGGATATTTCCCACAGGTACTTGGTCACTCTAGAGAGGGAAGGGCACATAAGGCCAGAAGAAATGGACAAGGACCCAACCTTCCCTCCCTAGGCATCCCACGCCAAGACTCCCACCCTGCCCAGCCACAGATAAGCCCACAGAATGGAAGCCGAGACTGTCTTTCCCCTTCCCAAGGCTCTCAAGAAATTCCAGTTCCACCTCACTCCTGCACTTCCCTCTTTTGTTCTTCTTTCTTCCTGCCACTCCACCAGTGACTACAGGATTCAAGTGGACTTCTGATCCACCTGCCCAGGGCCACGTACCCCAAACTCACATGTTCTTGCATCTTCATCTCCTGGAATTTGATGAATTTGGAGCCCCGTGTCTGCAGATACAGCCGCCCTCCTGAGCGGTTGGTTTGGCACTCCTGGCTTGGACACATGATCAGAGGCATGAAAGTGGGAGACTGAATCTAGGATTGAGAACAGAAACACCAAAGGAAGTCAGCAAAGGAAGTCAGAAGAAAAAGAGCCCCATCTCGTTGGTCTCTTGAATCACATTTTCTCTTCCCGGCAGACATCTTTGAATCCAGAACCCTTTGAGCTTATTCTGGGTCAACAGCAGACACCCAGAAAATAGGTAGAAAGACCACTACATACGCAAGAAAAAGGAAAGGTGAACACACAGGTAGCTTTTACAACCAGAAAAAACGATAGGCATCATAGATCATATCAATTTCTTCAAAATGACTAAACATGAAGTGCTTTCCTGCTCCTTGATCCACACGTACCGGCTGGTAGGTCTCTGCCCCGCACTGGTCACAAGTGTAAGTGGCCACCACCATCCTGGGTTTGACTTCAGAGACACGAATGACGATTCCACGCACAGTCACCAATTTCCCCACAGAGTCAGCCCGCACATCCCGGATCACACGAGGCTTGTTGCTGCTTGGGCCTTGAAAATACAGCTCACTAAGAGGAGAAAACAGTCACAAACAAGATTCTGGAGAACCAATCCCCACATCCTTCCTAACAGAGACCACTCACAATCTGCGCATGAGTTCAGCGGGATACTGGTTCTGGGGGCTTCGGGCCGTCACAGGGTCCCGAGTCCGCTGCTCCATCATAAGCCGATGCTCAATATAAACATCCAAGACATCTTTATTTACCACCTAAAGAAAAAGAATAGAAAAAATGAGCAACAGGATGGGGAAAAGAGAGCACAGACAATGCCAGGCAGAAGTGCCCCGGCTTTCTGCCTGGCTCAGAAAACATCAGTATTTGAGCAACTTCTTAACAGAAATTGAAATGCCTTGCCCTGCATTGTTCTCCAGTCACTCACCTCCCTCTCCTTGTACTGAGGCAGCAGCTCTTGTACCACATCAGCAAAGAGCTTTGCGTAGCGCCTGGCATTCTCACAAATTGAGTCCACCAACTCAGGGTCATCCTCAGCTACATCATCCAGGTCCACATACAGAGCCACCTGTTCCCTATGAGCCAGCCGAACCTCAGGTGGGGAAGAGACAGCAACACCTCAGAGCCACGTTCACTTGTTCACCAGTGTTCACGCATGAAGATGCTTCACTGAGAGCTCAGCACGGGCTCAGGGCATCCACAGGGGAGAACACAGCACCTCAAAGAGTGATACTCACGTCTCAGCCCCCAAACTCTCTAATTATTATGAATATACTATAGTATCACATTCACTTACCAGATATCAAATGCCCTGCTAAACATGTCAGAAAAACGTCCTTGATGAAACAAGCCGCTTCTTAGGACTTCTTAAGCACCCCACTCGTCACTCCCTTTACCCAATCTTAGACTTACCAATTGGTTCCCATACTTGAACTGCTTCTTCCCAAGTTCATCATCCTGGTAGAACTCTTGTAAGAACTTCTTAACCTTTTCTGTAAGGTAAAATGTAAAATCATAAGACACGAACTTTAAATTACTGCCCATCCCTCTGATAGAAATCTAAGACACCTATTTTCACTTAAAACACGACCTATAAACTAGTTAACGATATGAGCATTTAAATAAACCTACCGAATTCTCCCCAAAGTGGGCATAACTTTTTTTCACAAGTTTCTTTTTAATCAGCGAAGAATAAAGAGGCTGTGGCAGTTCACAGGACGATCCAACACCTTCTTCCCAGGGGAATTCCGGTCCCTACTTTAGTTTAACTAAAACCCTAGCGCCCTTCCTCACTGGCGCCCCACACTCCGATCTCAAGGTTGTCAGCTTTCCTTCCATCCCTATGATCCCCCACTTTCTTTGAGTCTCCTGAGCCCCTGATCTCGCCAGGACCTCCGCCACTAGGCTGGTCGCGCACCCCACCCCGCTCCCGCCAGCGCTTCCGCTCTTAGTAAACAAAGAAGCACATGGGCCCGGATTCCAACCGCCTCACAGCCCGGGATTCCTCCGCCCAGGGAGGGAGCCCGTCCAGCCATTGGACAACACGCCCGGGGCCGCCGCGATCCCAGCCCACTGCCGCCTTTCCCCCGCACGAGAGAAGCTCCCGGTTCCCAGGCACGCCCCCTTCCCCGGGCCGCAGCTCTCTCCGAGGCCGCCGCGCGGAAGGACACTGTTTACACGACACTCCCTCCATCCGCTTGGCGCCACTTCCGCCCAGCTCCACTTCCGCTCGGAGGGCAGCCTCAAACGGCCAATCCCGGCGCGCAGCGGCCCCGACCTGCCCGCCCCCAGGGCCTTCGCGCGCCTAGGGAGGACGCGGGAACCGGGGAATGCCCAAAAGCGCTGAGGGAAGCAGGCCCAGATCCCCAGAGTCCTTAGGGTCCCCCGAGGTCTTGGGCGCGATCCTCCCCTATGCAGCACCCCCCAGCCAGGTTAGCGCCCCCCCAAGCCCCCAACTCCACGACCCTAACACCTTTACTACGTGGGATTACCAGCTTTTCTTCAACATGGATTCCATCTGCGCCCCTCCCAGGCCTCGTGGGCCTCAGTCGGGCCACCGCCCGACCCTGACTCTAGCCTCGTGCGCCCCAGAACTCGCTGATCCCTGCTCCACAAGACCCCAGCTCACACCAACAGGTGTTCCCCGGGAGGCTCCCCAGGCAGGACGCCCTCGCAGGCTCGCAGACCAGTACCTTTCTCGAGCGCGTAGTCCTTCAGTGCCATCGCTGCCGAGGCCCCGCAAGCACAGCAGTGCTTGGCGGACTCAGAAGTCTGGGTCCCGGGGAAGCTGAGAACGTCCGCGCGGTGGACTGTGGCCGACCAACCGAAATTGGCGCGAAACGTCCCCCCCCACGTGATCGGCGCCACTGCCTGCCGGCCAATCGCAGAGACCGGCCCTCTCCCCGCCTCCAGCTAGGCTCAAGCCAATCACCAGGCGGGTCTGGAATGAGTGACGGGGAGGCGGTGTGGGCGTCGGGAGGGAATCGATGGGCTCTGCTGGGCGGGCGCCGGGTTTCCCGCGGTCCGAGCTGGCGTGGGCGGAGGAGAATCGCTCTTAAAGGGCCAGCGCACGCGTGTTCTTTTGTTCCGGGGCCTCAGGGCGGGACAGGCCCGACTTTCGCCGTCTTCTCGTTTACTCTCCAGAACGGCCATGATTTCCCAGTTCTTCATTCTGTCCTCCAAGGGGGACCCGCTCATCTACAAAGACTGTATCCTAGACCCGCGGGGCTGGGAAGGGGCGGAGGGGCCGGGCGGGAGGGGCTCCCGGGGCCAGCCCGTGTCGCAGGCTTCTTCACTGAGTTCTTCCACCCGTCAGTCCGTGGGGACAGCGGCGGCCGGGATGTGGCCGAGCTCTTCTACCGGAAGCTGACGGGACTGCCAGGAGACGAGTCCCCGGTTGTCATGGTAACCACTGGCGGGAGGCGGGTGGGGAGAGGGGCGCCGGCGGGCCTGGTGGGCGCCGGCTCCCTCCCAGGGCCGATTCCTTGGTAGCTTCCACTTGGGGTGGGATGCATTCTTCCAAATAAAACCAACAAGAGGCCCGGCGCGGTGGCTCATGCCTGTAATCCCAGCACTTTGGGAGGCGGAGGCGGGCGGATCACCTGAGGTCAGGAGTTCGAAACCAGCCTGGCCAACATGGTGAAAGCCCCCCCGCCTCTACTAAAAATACAAAAAAAGTTAGCCAGGAATGGTGGTGGGCGCCTGTAATCCCAGTTACTAGGGAGGCTGAGCCAGGAGACTCGCTTGAACCTGGGAGGCAGAGGTTGCAGTGAGCCGAGATCGCAACACTGCACTCCATCTCGGGCAACAGAGGACTACATCGGGCGGGGGTAGGGGGGTGGGACAAAAAAAACTTACAGTCTATCAGGTGCCAGGAACATACCAGGCCCAGTTTTATGACTCCATTTTCAGCAACTAGGGGTAGATACTGTAATTAACCCCGTTTCCACATTGGGAAGCTGGGTTCAGGGACCAGTCATGTATCTCTCAAAGTCACTGCTACTGTTGACTAGCAAGAGGCATCGGGATCTGAGCTCAGGTCTCCTGGGTTCTGATCACCCCACCTCCCTTTTCCTAATGCTCTTCTACCTGCCTGTGTCTCAGCATCATGAGGGCCGTCATTTCATTCACATCAGACACAGCGGCCTCTATTTGGTGGTCACAACTTCAGAAAACGTTTCTCCCTTCGGCCTCCTAGAACTGCTCTCCAGGTGAGGAGGGCTGAGCTGGCCACCTGGTAGCTAGCGGGGGTCTAAGAGGAGGAGGAAATGCATACTCCCAAGTGTCTCTTCAGGTTGGCCACCCTTCTGGGCGATTACTGTGGCTCTCTGGGTGAGGGGACCATCTCCCGCAACGTGGCTCTGGTCTACGAACTCCTGGATGAAGTGCTGGTGAGAATCAATGATCCCCTTCTGTGCCCCCCCCCAATTCCCCTGGAGATACTTCTGTTCTTCCACTGCCTGATGCTGTGGTTGGGAGGCCAAGTCTACTCCTTTTTTTTTTTTTTATCTTTTAGAGATAGGGTCTTGTTCTGTCACCCAGGCTAGAGTGCAGTGGTGCAATCATAGCTCACTGTAGCCTGGAACTCCTGGGCTCAAGTAATCCTCCTGCCTCAGCCTCCCTTGTGCCCACCTAATTGTTTATTTTTTATGGAGACAGGAGTCTCGCTCTGTCACCCAGGCTGGAGTGCAGTGGCTGGATCTCCGGTCACCGCAACCTCTGCCTCTCGAGTTCAAGTGATTCTTCTGCCTCAGCCTCCTGAGTAGCTGGGACTACAGGCACATGCCACCTGGCTGGCTAATTTTTTGTATTTTTAGTATAAATGGGGTTTCACTATGTTGGTCAGGCTGGTCTGGAACTCCTGACCTCGTGATCCGCCTGCCTTGGCCTCACAAAGTGCTGGGATTACAGGGGTGAGCCACTGCACCCAGCTCCCTCTCCGCCTTTTTTACCCCATCCCCCCACTGACTTATCAGACTGTCCTTCCTTTACCGCTAGGATTATGGCTATGTACAGACCACATCTACGGAGATGCTGAGGAATTTCATCCAGACGGAAGCTGTGGTCAGCAAGCCCTTCAGCCTCTTTGATCTCAGCAGCGTTGGCTTGGTCAGTAGAGAGAAAGAGGAGGGTGAGGAAGGAGAAGGGGTATTGGCTGGGATTGTCAGACCTGCGGATTGATTGCTTTGGATACTTTACAGTTTGGGGCTGAGACACAACAGAGCAAAGTGGCCCCCAGCAGTGCAGCCAGCCGCCCCGTTCTGTCCAGTCGCTCTGACCAGGTGAGGGAGGGATCCATGGGGTCCGACCTTGTGGTTTTGCTGTGGGACCCCGGAGTCCGAGATCTTAGGCTGGGCGCAGTGGCTCATGCCTGTAATCCCAGCATTTGGGGAGGCTGAGGCGGGCAGATCACCTGACATCAGGAGTTTGAGAGCACCCTGGTCAACATGGTGAAACCCCATCTCGACTAAAAATGCAAAAAGTAAAAAAAAAAAAGATCTTGGTATGTCTTCCACCTCCCCTAGTTGTGGGTTTCCCTTCTGGCACTTGTGTCCCCATTCTAGAGCTGTAGCTTTGACCATTCTGTCCTTTCTTTTCGTCTGTCCATTTCAGAACATAGACTGTTCTGCTTCTAACCACCCAAATCTCTCTTTCTCAGAGCCAGAAGAATGAAGTTTTTTTGGATGTGGTTGAGAGATTATCTGTACTGATAGCATCTAATGTAAGTTTGAGTTCCCATCCCTGGAGCTGAGGACAAATGAGATTTGGGACATGTGTTGGGGTGGCTAAGACTCCAACAGTGGCTGGGCACGGTGGCTCATGCTTGTAATCCCAGCGCTTTGGGAGGTGGAGGTGGGAGGATTACTTGGGGCCAGGAATTTGAAACTAGCCTGGGCAACATAACCAGACCCTGTCTCTACAAAAAATACAAATACATTACCCAGGCATGGTAGTGTACACCTGCTCTCCCAGCTACTTGGGAGGCTGAGGCAGGATGATCACTTGAGCCCGGGAGATTGAGGCCTCAGTGAGTCAAGATGGCACTAATGCACTCTAGCCTGGGTGAGAGAGCAAGACGCTGTCTCTTTAAAGAAAGAAGTCAGCATGGTGGCTCATGCCTGTAATCCCAGTACTTTGGGAGGCCGAGGCTGGTGGATCACTTGAGGTCAGGAGTTTGAGACCAGCCTGGCCAACATGGTGAAACTCCATCTCTACTGAAAATACAAAAATTAGCCAAGCGTGGTTGCGGGCACCTGTAATCCCAGCTAGTTGGGAGGCTTCGAGGAGAATCACTTGAACCTGGTAGGCAGAGGTTGCAGTGAGCTAAGATTGTGCCATTGCACTCCAGCCTGGGTGACAGACCAAGAATCTGTCTCAAAAAAAAAAGAAAAACTCCAGCCTTGACCTCTCTGCCTCTAAGGGCTCCCTACTGAAGGTGGACGTGCAGGGAGAGATTCGGCTCAAGAGCTTCCTTCCCAGTGGCTCTGGTGAGGCATCTGCAGGCGGGACCCGGGTTGGGGTTGGGGCAGGTTTCTTGGTGTCTTACACCGTGGAGTTTGCGAGCTCTTCTAATGTTCTTTCCTCTGCTAGAGATGCGCATTGGCTTGACAGAAGAGTTTTGTGTGGGGAAGTCAGAGCTGAGAGGTGAGAAAGGGTCTCTCTCTCCCTGGGGTAGGTCATTGCCACAGAGTTCATGGAGAGAAGTCAGAGACGGATCTTCCCCCTCCTTTCTCCTCTCTCAAAACATGAGTCAGGAGAGAAGTCTCTCTTTTTCCAGGTTATGGGCCAGGAATTCGGGTCGATGAAGTCTCATTTCACAGCTTCGTTAATCTGGACGAGTTTGAGTCTCATCGAATCCTCCGCTTGCAGCCACCTCAGGGCGAGGTCAGGATTGGGGTGGCCTTGTAAATTCCGTCCTCCATGGGGAAGGGGGCAGTGTGGGGTTGAGGAGACGAAACTGACCCTGTTGCTCCCTGGTTTCTCAGCTGACTGTGATGCGGTATCAACTCTCCGACGACCTCCCCTCACCGCTCCCCTTCCGGCTCTTCCCCTCTGTGCAGTGGGACCGAGGCTCAGGCCGGTGAGACCATTTCCTGGGTTCCAGAAGTACCTTGGAGCCCAAGCCAAGATGTGTATGTTCCCAAAACTCACTGCAGAGTGGGGGTGGTGGGAGAGGTGATGAAGTGCAGATTGGAAAAAGGCTTGGGCTGGGCATGGTGGCTCATGTCTGTAATCCCAGCACTTTGGGAGGCTGAGGCGGGAGGATCACTTGAGCTCAGGAGTTCCAGAC